CAAAAAAAATTGTTAGGGATGGGTATTCATAGTACCATTTAGCCTCATTGTTAAATAAAAGTAGGAATAATAAGAATTCAGATTTATTGGAACAACAATAAACTGATTGTTTCCAAAATCTCAAAACAGATGTTAAGATTTTAAACAATATTCCTCCCAAGATAAGCAAACAAATTCAGAACATTGACAAAATTGTTTGAGAAACCACTAAATGTCTTTAGTTGCTCCCCAGTATTCAGGACTACTGGAAACAAAATAATAATTTGTCCAACTAAAGCCGACCAAATGGGGATGAAAAGTTTTGCACTGGCTGCACCATCAGATTTATCATGTACTCTGGCAAAACTCTTCTGATGAGGTCATGAACCTCATTCTCACATCCTCCCTTGGCACCATGTTTACATGGACAATTTTTACTCTCGTCGCAAAATGTTCATAGAAGGTCTTTGTGTGGGGCGCCATCCATCCTGCTTCCTCTGGAAACAGTGACTAAACATGAAGGATTGAAATGGACTTTTCACCCCCCGTTGTGACCTGCAATAAAAATATCAGAAGACCTTTCAGACCAACTTTACCCAAAAAACAAATCACTTCCACGTTTCTGGACGTTTTCACAGCAAATGCTTTCATCTTACATCGTGAGGTGAGCAAAGGCCTCTGATGGTGGATGATCAGAACCTACTTCTATCTATTCCAAGAGTTTGGAGCTTTTAGTTACTGTGCACCAAAAATCTGCAGGAAGCTTAATTTTTACTGTGCCCATTACTAATATTATTATTTTTAAACTATTATCATATTGGTTCTTGTTGTGCAACATTGTGTTTTTATCTTATATACTAACACTTTAAATAATGTAACTAAAGATGCCTTGCAATGAGGCTGAAATATGAATCTTATTCAAGTGTTCATGTCGTTGCTGCAGCCATGTTTTTTTTAATGACTTATCAATAAAAAATTATTTCAGCTAAAATATTGAGATCCCAAAATATATATTTTTTGAGTATGGCAGCAAAAATGGAAAAAAAGTGAAAGTATTTCAAAAATATTCCTATTCATTTGTGGACGTGAACATCAACATGACATTACGTGCAAATTGCAATTGCAACTTTAAAGGCAGCATTTGCTTTATAATTGAAAAAAAAGCTTTTTTTTTTTGTAAATTTAGATATTTTTCAGACTTAACTATTGTGAATAAGTTGATTTTATTTGGATTTTATTTGGAAACACTGCAATTGCAACATTGTGTTTGACATTCACAGAATATCAAATTGCCCACATTTGTAGCAGAAATGCGGCGAGAGACGCCCCAGCAAAAGTAACACGCCCGGTCCTGATGCAGCAGAACCCTGAACTCCACACCCTCCATCCTGAAACATGCTACCCAATTCAGAAGATGCGCACAAAAATCCACGTTTAGATCCAAATACATTTTTTGGCGAGTATAGTAACATAAATGGAGTAAAAAAAGTGAAACTGTTTGACGGCAGCTTAATCTAAAATGGTTTGTTCGTGGACATAAAAGTGACATTACATTGCAAAGGCAACATATACTTTGTAATTGAAAATGTTTTCTTTTGGCAAATTGAGATCCTCCAATATATTTTTCAGACTTAAATGAATACATTTTCAAGATATTGAAGTGTTCTTTTTTTGGCCCTGACCTTTTCTCTTTTTCTGTTCTGACAATTGAAAAAAAAATAATTAAAGTGTCGGCTGAGTGTTTTTATCAGATTCATCCATGAGCTGTTCAAAGCGACACACACACCCAAACACTCACCCAACCCCAGCGAGTCGCCAAGTTCAGTTGTCTATTAAGAGGAGAGCCAGGCCAAGAGAGCTCTTGACTCTGACAGGCTCTCCATCTTCTGCCCCCCACCCCCCCTACACACACACACACACACACACACACACACACACACACACACACACACACACACACACACACACACACACACACACACACACACACACACACACACTGTCCTGACCATCAGGCCAAATGAGCTGCTTAAGTGTATAATTGTGGGATGTTTATGACTTTTCTCCATCACTTAGTGACAGTTTTACAATTGCATATTTTCATTGGGTGAAAGGAAATATTTTCACTAATTTAGCGCTCAGGAGAGAATTTAAGGGAAATTGATTCTTTCGCTGTGAAAAGCTTCATGTTGTCATTGATGTAAAGAAGCTGGGAAAACTCTACATCCTCAAACGTCGTTCGTCAACAAAGAACTTCAAATTCAGTGTTTTTATCCTTGAACATAAGAGGGCAGCTTATTGAGAGCTTTTCAATAAATGTACACAAATAAAATGTTTTTATCATGGCTGCTGTGATAAAACTGTCTGAGCTGCTTTTAAAGTAAACCCACTCAACTATTAAACAAACATAAAGATTAAATAAATTATTATGCAAACTTTTCCAATAAATGGCTGAGACAAAAAAAAAAGCATTGAAGCAGCTTGTCAAATGCTCACAAAACAGTTTACAGCTTTGTAACTTTCCATACAGGGATTTACTTTTATAGTAAAGGAAATGCAACTCTATCAAATTAAAATGGATTAAAACTTTTTTGGCGTTTTCATCAGACTTTGACTTGAACCTTTGCAGCATTCTGCTGCAGATTTGTCACAGTGCTTGGGATCATTGTTCTGCTGATGACCCAGTTTGGAGCAAACAGCCATCAAAACAGATGGTCTCCATTTTTACTCTCATACTTTGATGTACACAAGAGTACAGAAGTTGTTTTTAGTTGCTGCTGTTTGATATGAATCTGCTCCATATAATTAAACTGAGCTGGATTGAATAGCAGTTTCCATCAATGTGTGTTGTTGTACATTTTGAAGTATCGCATCAGGAAAGGTTGACAGGAACAGCAAAATTTGAAATGTTTCACTCAATTTTGCAAAAGATTTGACACATCCTTGAGGCGGTTTTAGGCTTTCAAATGGAAATGGAAACACTTTTGCCGAATGTGATGGCAGTGGTGCAACGCCCCACACTTTGGGAACCTCTGAGTTTAGAGGATGATGGCGCTGCACGTCTTTCATTGACTTAAAGTGTGAACAAACTTATTCACGCGTGATTTCAATTGCTTAGCTTAGTTATTGGAAACACAGCAATTGGGGAATTACATTTTGTCATAACTGGCAGAATATTGACACAGTTTTGTGCACATTTGTTATGGAAATGCAGATAGAGGTGATTGGATGCAGCTGGGGCAGAAACAGGGGGGCAAATGATGAGACAGTGATTAGCAGCCGTAATGGGGAGGGTTATATTATGAAACTACAAAAGCGGAAAATGAAAGAAAACCATAAACGCAAATAAAGACTAATGAATCAAATCAAAACACAAACAGAGAATAAATAAACACAAGGAATAAAATACAGGAGCAGGAAATAAAAAGCAAAGAAATTATCAAAACATAAAACAACAAATAACTTTTTTCTTTAGCTCACTATGAAATTATAGAGTAAATTATCTCCATTAACACTGATGTATTGATTTGTTTCTTTCATGTCTATTTTATGTGCAAGTGATTATTTGTCTGGAGACGAAGCTTTGCCTCAGTTCTCCAAAATCTGAGCTAGAGAACAAAACAAAAAAAATCCAGCAGCTTCCTCCACTTCTGTTTATTCTTGCAGAAACATGATTGTACAACCGGCTGTAGAAATTAAATACAAGAGAAAGCGTGTTGTTTCCCTTTTCCCATCAGGTGGCTCAGCATCTTCTCGCAGGACGGCCTGTAATCCCACTCGGCTTATAAAATGTATTCCTGCATAAAAACAAGACGTTTCCCCAGCATTCGTTTCAGTTTGTTTTACTACTGCGCTGTTACCAGAGCCGGCACAAAACAATGTTGTTATTTAAAGTGAAGCATAAGAAGGGGAATCAAATCCCAGGAGAGCCAGTGTTTCTGTTGTAGCTCCAAAGGGAAGTGATGAAAGCTGCTGCCTCTTAAAGAAGAGGAGGGAAACGTCTGACAGACACTTCTTTCTGTACCAAGATGTTATTCCCTATTGAAATATTTGTCGAGTCAGACACAAGCTACGTCTTTTTCTTTTCCTCCGTCGTTGGCTCTGTGGGGTTTTGTTGAATTCAGGAGGAAGAAAGAGACCCTCCATCTTGGTAAATCTATGAATAATGTGCTGACTGTATAAAACTACAGATAAATATGCTGTTCCAAAATAACCACATAATTATTGGATGTGTTGCATAAATGAAGAGCCAATTTATTTGATCCTAATATCACTATTTATAATGATCCCTTATCTACATACTGCTAATAATCCATTTGTACTAAATAAACCTGTCACAGTGAAATTTTGCTGGAAGGTAAATTGTCCCAGAAGTTATTGCAATAAACGATAATATTGTTGTTTGGTGACCATTTCAGGCACAAAAATCACTAAACTTTAAATTCACACTGGAACTTAACTGGAGAACATTTTAAATATCCTGAAATCAACAAAACAGAACATTAAATAAAATTAATTATAAAGACCAAGGCAACACCAAAGCTCCAGGCTACAGACTTTTATCCTGTTTTTGGTGAAAAGAGAGAAAACGGAAAGACGATAAATCTCCCAAATGGAAATTATTGAGCTTGTTGTAATTTATCATGAGATCAATTGATTTATTGCTTGCTGTGGCAGGCCTAATGCTAACCTGTTTTTGTGCCTCTTTCCATTGTTTACAGTCATGTAGAAACAGAGTCTGTTTAATCTCAGGGTTTTCCATACTAGAAATTAAAAATCTTAGAACGTAATTGGGGATTATTATGCCATTACCTCAATATTACTTGAAAGTCGCCTCAAAACAACAACATTATCGTTTATTGTAATTACTTTTGGGACAATTTATTATGACAGGCCTAATATTATAATATCAAAGATAAATATTTATGCTGACAAGTCTTTAAAATTCAGAAATGTCCCTTTAACTTATTTTTAAAGGGTGAATTTATTTCTGTAGACTGACCCGGTTTGTGTTGTTCCAGGTGAGCCTGATGCACAACGGCTGGCCGGTGATCTCTGCATTCGCCGGCGACCAGGATGTGACGCGTGAAGCTGCCAGCAACGGCGTTCTGATCCAGATGGAGAAGGGCGACCGGGCCTACCTCAAACTGGAAAGAGGAAACCTGATGGGCGGATGGAAATTCTCCACCTTCTCCGGGTTCCTGGTGTTCTCGTTGTAGAGAGGAAGAAGAAGGAGTTGGGGATGGAAACAAAGGAGGAAGACGGAAAGATCAGAAGCGGAAAAAAAGGACACAAATGAGCTGGAGGAAGAGAAGAAGAAGAAGAAAAGAGGGCGTGACAACGGACGATGATTTAAGTTGTAGTTTGATTATAGGAATTAAGAAAAGCTGGTACATGAGAGAAAATGGCCACCTTCTTCACTTCCTCCTTTCATCCATCCCTTCATCCATCCTTTTCCTCTCTCTGTTTTCGTTGTGGCTTGACTGCAGCTTTGGACAGCCAGAACTTTTTTTACTCTGCTGAAAATCGCAGCTGATCATTTTATCGTGTCCTGAAGTGTAAGAATCCCCTCTTTCCTCCTCACTTCTTCACCCATCCATCCGTTTATCACATCCCTTCATCCATCCTTAAACATCAACTCTCAAGAATGTTTCTCAAGAGAAAAACTCACATTTTCTATGTAGCTCGTTTCTGTTATTTCTTATTTTCGTCATCTAGGGCAATAAGAAATGAATTTAAACACGTAACACAAACCTCTAGTCATGTGATTGCAGCCTGGAGATGCTGGTTTAATTTTTTCAATAAGATTGACTTTAATGTTACTGTTACTACAAAACTAACCATAACGAAGCTAAACACGCCGACAGAATGAGCAAAAAATGAACAAACACGAAAATCCAAGACAAACGTTAATATAATTTAAAATATGGTCTGGAAAGTTTAGCCACATTTAAGATATTTTAGAAAAATAAACATTGAATGAGTGAACGTAGATCCCATCGTTAAAGCGATGAGACCAAGCGTAGCTATTCGATGTCTCTCAAAGTCCAAAATAAATCCCCCCAGTTAAATATCTCAGATGTTTTATAGACATTTTTACTGTATTAATGCTCAGTGAGTGAACACGTCCATTCATTTACTCAGAAGCCGAGAAATGAGTCAGTAAACGTAAAAATTTACATTTAGCTTTTCAGTAAACGTGAAAGTATTTCAACTCATAGTTGTAAGGAGGGCAAAACGTGACAAGTATTTATTTTTATTGAAGAAACAAACGAACTATCCAGAACCTTGATGAAAAACATAATTGGACGTTTTTAAATTACCAAAATGTTTGGAAAGTTAAATTAAATATTTCAGTAAATGTAAAAGTAGTTTAACTCCAAGATGACAAAAAAAATGCAATTACATTTATTTAACTCTGGTTTTGCACGTTAGCTACAGGTGTACACTGTGTATACAAATGAAAGGTTGAATGAAACTGTAATTAATTATATGGGTAAAATAATAAAGCATTCATTGGGAGAAGTGACTTCAAAGTACTTAATTGGCACGTAAGTTTTTACACTCTTGTAACCAAGTATTTTTTATTTCAACAAACACGATAGTTATCCTTTTCCCCTCTGAATTTCTAATTTCTGTTGAGGTCAAGTGGAGTTTTATTTATTTAATTCGCCTCATTCCTGCTGCTGTTCTTCAGAAACAAACCTCCTCATCTTTTGGACCCTCCTCTCTTACTCTATGCTGCTTTCCATGAAGTACAGATTTTCATTTCATGCTCCTTTGGTTCATTTCACCACGTTCCCCTCCATCCCAACCGGCCACCATTTTGTCCCTCCACCCTGGACCGCCGGGTGTTTGTTTGCTTCGAAGCACAGACTGTCTTCATGTTGGACTGTGAACTCTGAACCCTGCTACCATGGAACTTTAACAGTATATATATATAAATATATATATATATACATATATTTACACATACACACACGCACACAAATATATCAAAGCCACTGTTTTTATTCTCCTGGTATTATGATGATAATAATGGTACTACTAGGTAATGAAATTGACTGATGACTATATTATCTGTATTTCTGTACTTGAGTGTTATATAAAAGAGAAACAGAAACCTAATATTGATTGTGTGGAAAAATCTGAAGCTGCCATTCTGCTGATTAAAAACTTGCTTCTTGTTTTTGTGTCGAACAAATTGTGGCTAAACGGCTAAAACTACTTCTATAGATAAAGATAGTGTAAAAGGACTATTATTATTATTATTGACTGTAAAAAGATCATATTTAGACTTTGCAATTATAATTTATTAATTGAATCAATTTATGATTTTTTTTTTTATTTGCTTTGAAGAACTCAATAAAATGAAATTGTACTTTTATTTTTCTTAAACCAAACACGTCTGTCCTGGTAGTTTGTTAAACACTTGCACGCAGATGGAGACTTTTCTGGTTTTCTCATTTTTACGTCGTTTCTGCAAAACACATCAGTTTGTCTGCGGTACCTGCAGAATCTTTTTGGATTTCTCTGGCCCTCCTCGGCTCTCTCTCTCGCTCTTTCTCCTCTGTTTGTTCATTTTCTGCGTTGTTTGGAAGCTCACACCTGCTTCGCCGTCTCCACTCTGTTGGTTTTTTAAGGTTTTGTGGATCGTTTCTCTCCAGACTTTAATGAGCTCCAGGGGGAAAATTATTGCTGGAATAACAAGCAAACATTAGCTCTCACTACACTTATGCGTCTCGTGTTTTTCGGTTGGATTTTATTTTACTTCCCTCAGTCTCGCTTTTCTGTCGCTTTCTTGTCGTTTCTGTATTTGCGCTTTGAGATGTCTGACCTCCTTCACTTCCTGTTTTCATATAAATATTTTTCAGGTCCAAATAAGTATGCAAAAATAATTTGTATTTACAGACTACTCCTTATCCTTTTCTTTCATTTTCTCTTCCTACAATCTTTCCATCCCTGTTTTATATTTCTATTCATTTGTTTTTCCTTTCCTTCCATGTCTCCAGCCTTTTTCTTGTTTCCCCTTGTTTCAGTTTATGTATTTATTGCTAAATCATAACAAATGTCACAATAAAGGCACTTTATTGGCCTAAGCAGCTCTGCTTGATTCTCATCTGGGATTAGAATTGTAGTTTGCCTGCAGTTTTATCAATGGCAGCAAAGGAAGTGAACAAAGTTGTACAGTCTGTTAGTCACGCTTTAAAATATTGAATTAACATTAACAGCCATTTTATACATACATTTTAAAACATTAGGGTTTTTTAAATATTCACTTTTATCTTTGCTATGACTAACTTTGTGGTGGTAACTGTTAAAAGTCTTATAAAAACTAGGAGAAAATATCAAATTGTTCTTGAAGGGTTTTAAACTAAGAGTCAGCAAGAAACTTTCTTTTTTTTATCCATGTAAAAAAAATCTGAGGGAAAGAAATGTGACCAGTTTTTGTTGACCGAACAACATAAAAGCTGATTTTCAGGCTTGTACCAGAGACAGCGGCTCACATTGAAATTAAGATTCAAACATTAAAGACTTCACTCTCGACTGTGACTTGAGCTCTGAAGACTTTCAAAAGCCAGACTAAAACATTTCTCTGGGCTACATAAACTGAGAATGATGTCAGTGTTGCTTAGGCTTTTGTACCTTTCCCAGGTCAAATCCATTTTTATCCTTAAAATATCTTGAATCAGTTTTATGCAGCTGGTGATTCACTCCATTCAACACAAGGCAGAAAAAAGCTCTTTTGTTGACAGAAATTGTTTTTTTTTTTGTTGTCTGTTTCCTTCTTTTTATGACTGGACTTCAAATCTCCATTAAATAACCTATTTGTCCCAATTTTAATGCGTTCTCTAAACTTGGTTTAAAAAGCTGACCAAACTCAAAATCACTTAAACTTGTACAACATATGTTTAGTTTGTTTTGGTATTTTTGATAGAAATTTGTAGTTTTGAATTGACCATCCCATAAAACAAACTTCTGTACTTTGTGACTCGGATATCAAAAGCGAATCCTGCCTAGTCAGGCTAACATGTTCATAGTCAGATAATTCTGTCTTTATTCACATTTTAATCCAGGTTTGATTTCCATAGAACATTATGCGTTTTTCTGCATGTGGAAAGAAAAAGAAAATATTCGAGATCATAACATCACCGTAACTTCTTGCTTCAGCCATTGTTTACGTCTGGATTTTCTGCATCTTGCTAGTGTAGGATTATCATGCAAGTCTCACGTCATTGATGAAAAAATTGGATAAAAAGCGACATGACCGATCTGACTAAAAAATGGAAAATTCAGATTTTTGGGGGGTGAAAAAGAATCTGAATTGAAATTGCCCTGAAAAAGCCTTGAGTCGTGTTTGTGTGTTTAGTCAGATTGATAAACAAGCCTCCAGTCACTAGGTGGCAGTGTTGCTCAAACGGATCAACAGGATACCAGTGAAAGAAGGAGCCAATCAGACACTGAGGTGTTCAGAGCTGATGGAGGAGAAGAAATGGAGAAGTTTGACTAAAACGGCAGCAGAGGCAAGTGAAGCCAATAATGTCAGTGTAAAAATGCATGTAACATTTGAATAGTTTTTCATTTGAGAATCACAGATAATGCAAATTTATCTCAAACACTTTTGTGTTTGAAAATTCAAACCTTTTCTAGAAAAAAATCAGGAATTTTAGATTAATCTCATAAATTTTATAGAAAAAAACAGAGCTTGAAAAAATGAAAATTTGTTAGAGAAAAATAAGAAATTTTGACAGTCTCAGAAATGTTCTTGAAAAACCTGGAAAATTTTGAAGGGTTGAAAATTTGCTTGAAAAAATACTTTTCTTGAAAAAGTTTTGAAATGTAAACTTTACAAACTTTGAATCTTCCAGATTTCTTTCTGGGAAATGTCAAAGTTTTGTTTGCCAAAATTGTTTTTGTAATTTTTTTTCCAAAAGACCTGCAGTTTCTTTAGTTTGTTTTCATAAAGAACGCCCAAGTTGGAGTTTTGCTGGTATTGAAATGTGTGCTGCAGGATGCGTCTCTTTGTGTCGGTGTGTCTTATTTCCTCGTCCTCCAACAGTAATTTGATTGGCTCTGAGTGAGGGGGATGTAAATGTCTGGTCGTGTCGAGCCAAACAAACCGTGTGCAGATGTGTGTGTTGTGTTTGTATTCATCCTCATCTCCTCTCAATGTCAGGAGGAGGCTGACAGTTGGACCTGATGCAGCATTATATTTTCTGCTCTATGGAAATTCACGGCCCGGTTTTACCAGCAGCTCACGCTCCTAACCCCTGTGCCCTCTTACTGCAGCCAGAAGGGCGTGAAGACGCGTAAACAACAGAAAACAGAGGCGGTGGACTCAGACTGACGAGGAGAAGAACAAATCAGCAGTTTTTATTTGATATGACTGATGGATGACCTTTGACTTCGACTCAATTTCAAGCCCTCCTCAGGACACACAGGAGTAGATTCTCTACCCTTTTCACATCATATGACATCTGGCACTCAGATATGTCCGACAGTTTGTGTACAAAAGCCAACCAGTTATCTTCTAAATCCAGATTTTTGGAGCTTAGAACAAGAACATTTATCATCATCACTGTTTCAACTGATTTAAGAGAGAAAGTCACAGAACTAATAATTATCTGTTCACTGTCTGTAGAAAACCTTTGAAATCAGGTGTTTTAGTAGTTTGGAAGGCTAAAAACTGCTAGCTAACAATTGTTACCATTGGTTTTAGCCATCAAGTTGTCAACACAATGCGGTGAATCCTAAATTCATGTTTGATATATAAAACAAAAAGGGACGCAGTGCTTTTTACTACACCATGATTCAAATTATTATCCAAGTGATATTTTCTCAGATTTTCTTAAATGGTCAATGCAAATGATGGTCAGTATAATTTCAAGTCATAAACTATTACAGTATAACTTTAATTTTACCGAACAAAGCTCCCATTGAGAATGAGGGGACCAATAGTCGGTTCATGCACCGCAAGCCTCTGGAGGATCGTCCACCTTCAGGCTCCAGCAGCTTCTAATAACTGTTTGCTGCTTTCTAAGGGCATTTTAACAGCTGCTCTCTTAATTTGTCCAACAGAAACCTTCCTCATTACGCCTTTATTTGTACAAACCATCTTTGTTCTGAATCAGCCACAAATCTCTTCGCAGTATGACAACGCTTCAGTTTTCATTAATAATGTTTTCATACCTTGTCATACGGCTCTACACTATCTGCTGATTTTCATCAGCAGAGATTCTTTCTCTTCCCCATGTTGCTGGAAGCCTGTGGCCTGCTGAATGATGTGGAACATCCTTCTGAAGTAGATTTTCTTTAATTGAGCTAAACTGATCAACCAGCTCTCTGAAATTAATTATAGTGATTCAAAGAAACACAATACCATCTATAAATTTAATAGCACAACAAAAAATGTCATTTTTATGACATGTAAATCCAATTTGCATAATAATTTGGGACACGGTGTATCAACACTTAGACCACTATATAACGGAGTCCAGTAAATGCTCTAATTTAGAAAAAATTAACAAATGTTAAAGTCCAGTTATTCTAGCTGGACTTTAACATGAAGACGTGATGTGGAATTTGATGCGACTCAATTCAGTTTTTTGAAAAAAGGCAAATTTCTAACACACCAAGTAGAGGAGGTATTTAAATGAGCGAATCGCCCACCGCTGTGTTCAGATGATCATTTTTTAATAATTGCAAAATAAATATCAAGCCTGAAAACATGAAACTTAAACGGACTGAATGTTTTGTTCTTTGTGTTGCAAATGTTTGAGTGTTTTTGGCGTTGAATCCTGAAACATAGTGGAGCTGTTGTCAGCCAGTTGCTACGGCAACGGGTCTGCCTGTAGGTTAGCAAACACAGAGCGAGAGAAAAGAATAACACAAATGGTTTTTCTGCATTTTCCTTCTCTTTGCTTTGATGCACTGAATCAGTAATACCTGTGTCTCTTGACAAATTGCTCCATAAGTACAAAAAATTCACTATTTGCCCTCCAGCTTTGTGCAAATGTGCAACATTTCACAATGTAATCAATGACATTCAGCGTGTCTTTTCAAAGTCATTTTCAAACATTATTTACAATAGAAAACATTTAAAGACCAATGTTTCCACTCCATGAAAGCCTGAAAAGCTCAGAAAATGACCATCATCCACGTCGAACAGCGGAGCAGCCTTCTCTCCTCATCTCTGATGTAAAACATCATCCAGGACTCAAACATGTCAGCCTGTAGCAGCGCGACATGACAGTAACTCCTGTCACACCGCTGATAGGAAGAGGCCAAACTGTGCCTCATGTTTATTTAAATTTGACCCATTATGACTCCTTGACCAGGTTAGGGCAGGTATGTGTTCTTAACGAAACATGTTTACTACATTTTTTTGTACAAAATCATTTTT